GTCAGTGGGCTGCAGCAGTCAGTTACTTTGGAAGCATTGCTTGGCTTAACATAATTTTTATTAGTTTCAAGTTTATTTTTACAAATAATGAAAGAATAAAGCTGGGTTCTATCCAATCCCAAATTTACAAAGGTCTGAAAAAGTTGCATCTCAATATGTCTCTAAGATGGATATTAGACATACTGCTGAGATGCTGAAGTAGAGGAAAAGGATCAAATGAATGTGAAACATTTGGCTGAAAGTAGCTAACAGAACCAAGATGGAAAAGACAATCACATATCACCTGGATATGATTTTCAAGGCCAGAACTACTGCAGCAGCTACATCATGTTGTTCTCTTCACCAGAACTTCACTAAGTCAACTGGTCAGGGTGTGAAAACCAGGAACACTAGGAGCCATCAAGAAAGGAAAACATTGAAGGAGAGTCACGTCAGGTAGTATGAAAATGGTTGTGTTCAAAGGCATCATAAACCTTTTCAAGGCATTTTGGGAACACTGAATTCCTGCATTGGGCAAAACCTTACGGTGTCATGGCTCCTGACCTAGAAGCTGAGAAAAGTAGTGGTTTATAGGCAGTTAACTTTTACTGTTCTTTTGTGAATCTTGTTGTTTCTTGTTTACTAACTTTCCTAACTCCCACCAAGTTGTAGGCTGTGAAAAAAACAAGTCTAAAAAGCTTGCTTAGTAGAATATTTTTCCTTTTAATCTAAACGTTACAAAAAGTATTCCTTTCCTTATTCCTAGTGTTTTTCTTTCCACAAACCAATCAGAAGATTTACATTGATCTGTCTTGCACTCTACTCTGCAGCACCATTAGTAGCATTAACACTAGAACTTATAAACATTATATGAATGGACTCTGTAACCTGATGCTGTGCTGGCTTGTAAAGAGCTTATAAAGAGATGCTAGGCCCCCAAGTGTGTTTACTTCTTAGGAAAATAACACCTTAACTAAATAAATGTTACTTTCTGTCATTAGACTTCAATCCTGATGCCTGTTGCACTTTTCCTGTTGTCTTCTACAAAAATAGCTGCAAATGGCTCTGTCCCAAGCTCTTGCCTGTATCAGTATATGCTCAGTATTTTCTGCCTGGTCTCTTCGTATCCCACCTGTACAAAACTCTGCAGCTGACAACAAGATTTGTTTGATGAAATGCCACGTTTTTCAGTCTATCTGCAAGTTTCTTAAAAGAACCTAAGTACTGTCACAGATGTTGCAACTGTTACTCGAAGTGTATACATGTAGCTGTAGAGATACATTAATACCTCTACATTACAGGAAGCATTTTTATCCTTCGAAGAAGCAAGGGGAAAGAGAGACAATTTAAAGCCGTTTCTTCCTAGCATGCCTGTGTTTGTGACTTTGATCTGCAGATCTTACCTCTATAAGAGTGGTGAGGGTTTGGTCTCCAGTACTTTCAGTGTTTGGCTTCTACAGTGAGGTGGTCTTGGCTTTGTGAAATTTTCTCCTGATTCAGATGAGTTAGTTTCATGGGGAAACTGTTGTCTCATATGATGTGCTAGTCACTTCAAACCCATCAGGCAACCCAATAATATCTTGTATTCCTCATTCCCTATTGAGTCAGTCATTCCATATCACAGAATTGTAGGGGTTGGAAGGGACCTCTCACATACTTCAGCCCCCCTCCTTGACTCTTCCGCATGTTGGTAAAACAGTTACAGAAAACAGTACTTTTCCATCTTTTGTGTTGCATCTATCCCATATTTTCTATTTATTTAGAAACTCAGAAGAGGAAAAGAAGCTGTGTTTCTCAAATACCTGTTTGCAATTCCGGATAAGCTGTACACCCAGAGTAAAATGCTATAGGTTAGCGTATGTTCAGCTGTGCTGTTTTGGCAGTTTTACAAAGTACACGTTTGATCTCTGTTCATAATTTAGCTTGCTTGTGACCTGAGCAATATTTAGGTGTATACAAATTTAGCATTTCCTCCAAGTCTGTGGTCCACATAAGGTGTTTTCTCAGAAAGTTCCAAAGCCTAATCAAGCAGGCTTCTAAAGAACTAGCTGATTTTGGTCAAGTTGAAAGGAATAGCATCCTGACTGTATCTTAGTTGCAGACCTTGTATAATCAAGACTGTGTGAAAGACAAGATCTGTAAGTGTGGATCACTTACTGCAAGATTCTCTAAGCCTTTTCAGGTCAGCTGTGACAACAATCAACACACTGTAATTGTTAAAACTTAGAACTATTTCCCAGTATATTAAAGCTACTCTTGTGAACATAACTATTGTCCTCCTGAATTCACAGATGAGGGAAAGATAAATGGACAGCTCAGAAAAACTGTATAAAAATACTGAGAAAGTTGGCATAGGAGGCAGGAACAGATCTCAGTGCTGCTTTTCTTGTTTTTCTCTCCCATATCCCTGTCTGCGTTCATAGGATTTTTATTCCCCCTAGGTATTCATTACATTCCAACATAAGCTTTTCAACCACACCAAGTAGAGCAGAAAATACATTTCAAATGGAATTGACACACATCTTCCCAATAGAGAACTTTCCCAAAATGTTTAGCAACTCACCATGCTGAGCAGCAGAGACTGGCAAACCATGTTAATCAATTCTGCTTTATAAAAGCAAACAAGGTGGGGAGGAAGTAATGAGACCCTGAAACATCTGTTTGGGGACTTAGAATCCCCTTAGAAGGTTTTGAGTTCTGCCTTAAAGAAACACACTCCAAAAAATTACCGCCAACTGTGGGAACATTTTCTAGCTCCTTACAAAAAATTAATTATATATATGTTAGTCCCTAAAAGATAAATACCCTCTGCCCTCTTCTCCACTGTTGCTTCTGGTTTTAAGGTGTAGTCTTACCTGACATTACAAACATTCTTTCAGCAAAGAGATGCTACATCAGATCCATCCTAGTTGTGCTAAAGGAGTTTCAGTTTAGTTGAAGAGTTGATTGTTACAAAGCTGGATAATCATAGTTACAATACAAATAATCTCAGAACTGATTAGGAATGTTGTCATTTAGTAACAGTGAAATACACATTCCCATCTACTCACAAAGTTGCATATTGAAAGACTCCATAAAACACTTCCCACTTCATGATCATCACTGCTTATAGCAGTAGTTTTCTCAAGCTGTTGTTTCATATGAAAATGATATTTGGAATCTCTATTCATTCTGTGTTTCAGTTTCTTCAGTTGCTGATCTGGTCACTTTTAATTCTCAATTTATATTTTATTTTCTTTCCGAGTCTCATGCAGTGAGTTGTGTATAATATGGTTTATTAAGAAATGGGGCAGGAATAAAAGAATGTGTTTTTTGTTGTTTTTTTTGTTGTTTTTTTTTTTTTTTTTAGAATGTGGTGCTTGCTTTATTTACTGTCTTTTTGATATTTTAAGGGTTCAGAGTAACTTATTCTAATGTGTTCGTTTAATTGTTCTGCTATTACAGCTGGACATAATATTTGTTTTGAAGTATGTTTTTGGTCAGACTATCAGGCTGTTACCCAGCTACTAAGCCTTACCAAGGGGAGAGAGAGTGATTCTGTTCTGGAGTGAAACTGCTTTGCATTTTCTCTGGATGATGAGTTGCAGAGAGAATTGTAATGTTTTGGATATGTTCCTCTGTCACCTTAGTAAAACTTTGAAATCATCTTTTGTGGTGCATGCTTGTATGTTTATGTCTTCTCATGATAAAGACAGTGCTCGAGTACGCTTCTCCCTTTTCCTGTCAGATTTGCTGTTATATAGCTTTCTTATATCTTCAAGTCTGTACCTCCAAAAGCTTGGTATTGCTTCAGTAATACAATATTCTAAATAATAATATTCTCAGATCACATGTCTAAAACTGGCCTTTCTGTAGAGTCTTCGTGCAGTTTAAGAAATACGTAACAGTAAAAAAGCATTTACCCAACTTTGTACATTTTTTTCCTTCAGTTGTTGCATTCTGCTCTGTTTTCCTCTAATTGCTTTACCATCTAGATACAAATGTTGATACTGAACCATAGGGAGATTTTAAATTAAATAACTTTCTGGACACTTCAAGGTGCTGGAGTTTCCTGAAGAAAAATCAGGTTGAAAAATGTCACGTCTCTTGGGCCAAAACACTTGAACTATTTTTATTGGCAATGTGTATTTCCTTTTGGCTTGGAAGTGATCCTTCAGGATCATTTGATGATTCTAGGCATTTTAAAAATATGTTTTTATCTCTAATAGAAAATAAGAGAAGTGAGCATTTTCAATTCTGAAACCCTATTTTTCTTCAAACGTTTGTGTCTTATGTGGAAACTGGGATAAGATTTAAACTTACCGTACAGGGCTTGAGAATGACTTCTCTGTGAAACCCCGTGTGCCTGGGTACAAGGAAATTACATGCTTCATTTCAGCATGCAATTTTACACTTCCTTTGTTGTAAATTGGCCCAGATGAATGTTTGTTATTAATAAGCAAAGTGCATGGACTGTTATGAAAGATCTTGATATTTATTTTTATAAATTTTTTTTGGCAGTTTAGGGGACTTATTAATTTGATGGAGATCATGAATACTAAAATTCTCCAGTTGATCTAGTTAAAAAGTGAGTTAAGTTCCACCTTTTATGCTCCATGCCTTTATTAGGCTGCTTAGCTGCACGGTGGGTCCCTCTGCTTTGGAAAAAATGAGTATAGCAGTAACTTATTTTCAATGTTCAAACTGCTTTTGATGTTTTTTCAAGGGGAAAACTGATGATAAGAATGTGAAAGTGACTGATTTCTTTGAGGATTTGCAAGGTTTTTCATTCTTATTAATCAATTGCGAAGTAATGCTGTTGCTTCCTTTTATTGGCCGTAAGTCGTCTTTTACATGGAAGTGGATCTGAGTTTGAAGCCTGCTGGCACTACAGAAATATCCTAGTAGGAGTAAGCATGCCTCCTAATTTAATTTCCACCTGACTTGTTGACTACACTGAGCAGATAGTATGCGTCAAGCCTGAACTGATTATTGTGTGCTGGATCTGTTCAGTAGGAAAGTGAATTTTATTCTCTTTGCAGGCAAGGTGGTTCTGGGAAGCATATTTTCGATCGATGAAAGCAATCGCTCTTGCTACTCTTCAGATTATCAATGATAGAATTTATCCATATGCTGCCATTTCTTATGAAGAATGGAATGATCCCCCAGCTGTGGTAAGTAAATTCATTTGATTCACTCATAAAACAAATGACTTTTTCTTCCTCGTATAAGAGGTATGTGGAATGAGACTTGGTAATAATTCTGTGTGTGTTTGTGTATGCATTGTGTTGGTAACTCCAACAGATGAAGTTAATATATTTTTATGACAACTGGCAAAATAACTAGCAGTTTGTTTTATGTCCTGGCTGTGAAATATGAACTTTGGCTGTTGCACTCCAAATTGCATGCTTGATTATTTATTTATTTGTGTATTTATTTATTTTTCATGCATGCATACACACATTTATTTATTTTGCATTCAGGGTCAGTTTTGAGCTCTAAGATTGAATGACTGCAGTGGAAATAGTCAGTGGAAATACTGACGATCTTAATTTGCAGGAGTCCTTAACATAATTTTGCTGAAATAGCTGATTAGTCTTATGCCTGCAGTTTTCTCCGTGCTTTTTTCTATGTAATTTCTCTCGAGCAGAAACCGATGATCAAAGTTTTGTTGGGGTGTTGGTTGTGGAGTTTTTTGTTTTTTATTTTTTTATTTTTTTTTATTTTTTAAACGCTTCACTGGTTGAACCTCCCTCTGTTAAGAACAAATGCTGGAGAATTAATTAACCTTCTGCACCAGGCAGCTGGTTCTGATTTTTTACCATATAAAGGCTGCAGATGATTTTCACTCATAATCAGTTAATTTTCTCTGTGTTAAAATATAAAAAAATAGTTCTGTGTTACTAATAAAAACAAACTTGTTAACTGTCTCTCTTTATGGTAAGTTAAAGAGAGTCTCTCTGGAAGCTGTGTAGGAGTGCTCAGGAGTAGCGTGTTTTACTTCGAACTCCTCGGGCTGATTGAGTGTGAACACTTGTTAGGAAGGGCTAGAAGACAAATTTCTGCTGCCTAGCCAAAGGCATTGGTCTACTTTTGTCATTGACTTGAGAACAAATGTGACAATTGTCAGTTCTTAAGCAACAAATTAGCTACAGAAGAAGAATGTGTTCTATAAATGGGGAGTCAAAGTATCTTAACACCTTCAGATTATGCTAGCAGGTCAAGCATCTTGAAGCGTCTAGTAAAATGAAGAGGATATCCTTAGGGAGGCTTTAAAAGGAATACAAAAAGCTCTTATGGTTCTCTTCTGTTCTGGAAACCGGTCAATTTCTGGAGAAGTTGTACTTAAGTCTGGGCAACAAGCAGGCTTTTTCTAATCCTTAAATAGGTACTTTGAAAAAAAGATATTTATACTTAGCTTTTCAACCTAGAGGTTCTCTTAGGCAGGTTTATTGCCACAGACAGAGCACGGTGTAGAGCAGAGCACTGAAGCTGCGGTGGAACACATAACAGCAGTGTCATGCTAGGGCAGCAGGGGAGTAAGCAGGAATGTTTTATCAATATGTAATGGCTAAGAAAAGTTAGAGGGCTGACTGCAATTAGACAGGCTGGAATTTGTCCAGCATATTGGAGTTTAACACCTCATATCATGAGTCTCGTGCCATACATGGTCAGCTCCTTGGTGATTTTATGTCTTAGTTGAAAGAATTTGATATTTATCCTAGTCTATGAAAATTGCTTAATATGTGCATGAATACATTTCTCACTTCAATATGAAACAGAAACATCATAAAAAAGTTCCTTTATGGGCTGTGTAAGCTCCATATTAGCCAGCAGCACAGTGTGCCTGTGACCCTTTCTCATGGGGTCAGTTAAAGAAAATAGAATTCAGATTGGGAATTGTTCAAAAGCAGTTAAATTTGTAGAACAGAAGTGCACAACCCTGTGATATCTTTAACTGTGTTTTTTGATAGCTGCTCTGAGCATGCATGAAAATTTCATTTTATCAGGCTCTTTTTGTGGTGTTTTTCTTTTTTTAGCCAACTAATGCTGTTGGGTCTTGAACCATGTTCTTTCCATGGAATTGAATAACAGGAGCCTTTTCCAGCCCATTTTTGAGATTATTTTTTAGTTGAATATATTATGTTTTATCTCTTTGAGATGAGAACGTATTGCAGTTGCGATCTGTAAGGGAGTATATTCTCTAGGACTCAGATATTTCTGAATTCAGACAGTTTGGAAGGTGGTGATATATACAATATCTGCTAGTAAATTTAATAAGTTGTGGAGATCTTTTAGAACATTAAAAAAATAATTGTGGTATTCAGTTGTCAAAATTCTGCTCATTGCAGAAAAAGGAATCTACTTGAGCCCAAGTATATTTCTCATCTAAATTTGTGCCTAATGTGGACTCATAGCACTGTTGTGATCTCTAGTTAGCCTGGATGAAAAATGGTAGTTGGAAAGAAGGTACGTGTGCTTTTGGGGTAGTCGAAGATGTTAACTGTATTCTCAAACTCTGATAAGAAGACAAAATAACTAAAGATAACTTGAATGTGTTCCTCATTTGCAAGAAAACTGCCATATTCATATCTAGGTAAACTCCAAGATTGAAACATTTAAAGAAAAGTTATTTCACATTGGCCTCAGGGTCAGGATATAGGTGACTGTTGAAGCACCTGCAAGTTAACATTAATATCACAGTGAAATGTGCAAGTAACTCAGTGCCAAAAATTCTTGTGTTATTGGCCAGAACTGTACCTCCAGAACTTGTCATTTATTTTTTCCCTTTGAACTAGGCTGGCTCAGTATACAGTTCTCTAGCTCTCCTTGTTGTTCACCATGATGTTGTGGTTAGTAAGGATTAAATGTAGTGCTTGTATATGTTCTCTTGTTCCCATTACATGGTTTAGATAGGAATAGAGTGCAGAGCTGCAGAAAGAGTATGTAAAAGCTGTAGACAGATTAGCAGGAGGTGCAGAGGGTACAATCACAATTTTAATGCAACAGGCTTGCTTCAGTTAGAGATTCCTCTGATCAGTACAAAGCTGTTAATGAGCTGAAAGCAATAAGGTTTTGAAAACGACAGCATAGGTTTGGTTATGGAATATTTAGACAGAAATGGCTTGTATTAATTGTTACGTGTGCTTAATTGCTAGGAGAATGACCCCTTTCTAGCAGAAAGTCCTGAAAACTAACAGAGAGTTAGAGCTCAATAAAATGCCCTGGTTGTTAGTTATTTTGCTGCACAGTTGTTCCAAGTGCTTCAGATGTAAAATAAAGCAGTGAAAGCATTTCTGCTTCAACAATTAGAGTAACTCATAACTGTCCAAGGTATGTATTATGCTCTGTATTTTGTTGAGCTGATGCAAACTCATGAATTTTCCCTGTTACAAGATTCGTCATCTAATTTCGGACTATTTCCTATGATTTTATATATTGCTGGCCTTTTATTGTTTTTATTATAGTGCAGTTGAATGAAGCCTATTTTGAGTTAGCCTCTAAGTATGATAGACAAAAGGTTCTTGGGGGCCTGATATACTTGATTAGGTCTGGAACTACAGTAGCTGTAAAGGTGAAGCTGTGCATCATTCACAAAGGGCTGCCTCAAGTTTGACATCGTTTGCAAAGCAGGACTGTTAAGGACTTGCAACTGCTTTCTGAAGACTTTCTCTTTGCTTTACCTTGACTGATAACTGGTATCAGGAACTAGAAAATCCACAAACGTAATAATGATTACGTTCTCTTTTTAGCAAAATTACTTTGGTGTTTTTATCTGAGGGGATGGCTGTTAATTTGGACAGTCAGCATGGAAGTGATGTTCATGCATTTAAAATGAACGAGGCATGCTCATAACTAGGTCTGCATATGAGTTTACCCCCAGGTGTTCCTCCTTTCTCAGCACACAGAAACACCATCCCACCACCTTGTATTCAATCTGTAGTCACCCAAACACTCCAACTGCTCCAAGCAGATACTGTTGCCAAAAGAAGCAGTCCTGCATTCTTCCACACTTGGATGATGATTTCCTCTCCCTGTGCTACCTCCTTCTTGAATTTTCCAAATCACTTGTGGTGAATTAACTGAAATCTGTTTCCTTCTGTAAAACTTACCCAGCAAAATAAAAGAAAGATGGGGAGGAACAAAGGAGGGAGTGGGTGTCTGGAAGGCTGCTTTTTTTGGCATGAGTTTGGCTTATATTGGCTCAAAATGTTAGTGAGACTGTTGCCTGAGTATCTTCACCACCATGTGGGCACAGCAGCAGTGCGAGGGTGTTTTTCTAGCAGAAGGGGATATAAGGTACGCAGAAGATAAATGCATGTGCAGTTAATTGCATATTAATACACTGAGTGAGCAATGGGATCCAAACAATTTTATGTGTTCATATCATTTGACTGAAGGCTGATGTCCTTTTATAAAGAAAAGTGGATGATTTTCTTGCTTGTAGTTTCCTACTCATACTGTTAAGGAAGTGGAAGAGCAGTGAGTGTATAACATGCTGATACATAATGAAGTAGTAGTTTCAATAGCAATACACTATGTTTTTGCCTTTTAGAGGAGAGGGCAAGTGGTGTTTTGTATTGGTTGGCCATTATCTATGGGGTAGCAGCAATCTATTATGTTCAAATAAGCCAGAAAATGGCGACTTATATGCTGTTCATTCTGATTGTTACCAATTTGGGCTGGATTAGAACTGATGATATGGATTTGAGACATGATCTGTTATCTTCAATTAAGAACTTTGTTGTGCACTAATGGGGGTAAATTACTTTTTCGCTTCACAAACTAGCTATTTTGTGATTATTTAAGTTCTCCTTTCACTGTACTACATACCTTCCTAACGTATATGGTTTCTGGAAAATGTGTCAGATGAGTTTTTTCCAGTTTTTATTTAGTTGCTTTTGCTGAAATTCTTTTAAGCCTGTTTATAACATAGGCCTATAAAACATTAGGTTTTGTTTGTAAGTAGATGCTTTTGAGTTTTGACCTTGGGTGATGTAGATCAGACTTTAATAAATCACTTGAGAATATCACCATGCCTCACATACTATTAAACATACTAGATTTAGTTTTTCCCAGTGAGACAGGAAACAGAACCATCGTTTGGCTTAAACTAAAACAAATAGACAAGCTAACTTTGTGCAACAAATGCCATTCCTTTAGAAAATCCTATGCTGGATGTTCATTTGTGGGCTCTGTCCAATTACCAGCAGATCACACTTTCTAAATGATTTCTAAAACTACTTTTAAGCTCTTTGACTAGTATGTTATTGCTCATACTCCCCAGGTGATGCCAATATTATAGTTGTACTAACATCCTGGTATCTTCAGAACATTAACCAAATATTAATATACACTTTTATAAAACTTATTTACCTGTAAATGAGAAATGCCCAGGCTGCCATCCAACCTGGCCTTGAACACTTCCAGGTATAGGGAATTCACAGCTCTCTGGGCAGCCTGTGCCAGCACTTCACCCCTCTCTGAGTTAAAGAATTTCTTCCAAATGTCTGATTTAAATTTCCCTTACTTTAATTAAGGACTATTCTCTCTTGTCTTGTCATTATTAAATCGTGTAAAAAGTTGGTCTCCCTCCTGTTTCTAAGCTCCCTTTGAGTACTGGAAAGCCACAGCAAGGTCCCCCTGAAGCTGCTTTTTCTCCAGACTGAATAAGCCTAACTCCCTCAACTTTTCTTCAAAGGAGAAATGCTCCAGCCCTCTAATCATCTTTGTCACCCTTTGATTCTTCAACCTACCTGCCTTATTGAAAGCGTGAATGCAAATTTTATTCTTGATAATTCTTTTCTTCTCACTGAAAATTATTAAAATTAAAGAGTTGAAGAAATGAACCTGAAGTTAAGTTTTTATGTCAAAAGATGTGTTCAGCCAATAGATTCAGTGTCAGAAGGGCTCGGACAGCTGATAAAATTTAAGCAGCTAAGCGAAAAAAGATGCTGAATAACTTAGCATTGTAGTCGCATGATATATTTTGGCATTTGTAATCTGTGATTCACGTGGTATCACATTTCATCACTCAAGTAGGAATAGATAGAAACTCCTGTGTGCCTCATGGCTAAAATGGTTTTGGGGAAGGTTTGTAACCTTCATCAGAATGTGAAATGTTGGGCATGCAACTTGACTTGTGATTCTGCAGAGCATAAGTGCCGTGGTTGGCTCCAGAGAAGGAGAGAGGTTAATTCCTTCGGTTTTGCCCTATGACCACTCGAGGATGGGAAGCATGATGAAATACTTTCTCAAAGTATTCAATAAAAGCTTATCATGAATAATTGGAGAAAAATAGAATAAATCAAGGCCTTTTTGGTCTAGTGATTCATAATTGAAACCACATTGAGGTTAGGATTGATATTCTGAACAACGCAGCTGAAAAAGCCTTACATTGGCAAGGGATACATCTCTGCTTTACTTAGATGTATAGACAGACTACTTAGCTATTGTAAAAGTTCAGCATTCTATTGCCATTCTCTCTATGCTTTTAACTGAGAATTGTAGTCATTCAAGCTGTATGATTTCTAAAATTTGTTGACTAAAACAAGAACTAAATCTGGTTATTGAAAATAAGATATGTAGGGAGGAAAACCCACTGTCTTGTTCATGGTAACAGTGAAATTTCATTCCAAACTGCTGTTACTGATTTTTCCCACTAAAAGATGTCTGGGAAGTTCTTGCTTTATTTCTAAGATACAAGTATGCATGCACAACTGCAGTAGCCTGAATCCTTCCTTGTAATACTTATCCAAGCTTGAAATCTCCTCTCTCCCCAGCATTAAGCCATCTCAGAGTTCTTGCTGTTATTCAGGTCCCACTACTTTGGCTGTTCATGTGATCTGCAAAGGGCTGCCAAACCTAAGTGACATGAAATTACTCTAAGGAAACTGGTGTTTGAACTTGATCTGTTTTGCCCATAAAAATGATTCACAACAAACAACCTATTAATCTTAGATTCATTATCCTGGCTCCTCTAATTATATTAGCTGTGAGGGCAAGAGTGAAGGATTGTCTTATCCGTAGTTGAATGTCAGCACTTTGTCAAGGAGAGGTGATGGATAATCAGTCCAATGCTGCTGCTTGCTCTTCTTTCTGAGAGTGAAAGTCCCTATGAATTTCCATCATGATTGTTAATAAAGATGGGTCTGGAGCAAATGTTCTTTCACCCTTGGTTTCTTGATCAACAACTAGGAAAACCCATCCCTGTGTCATTATCCACATCATACTTTGCTGCCATAATGGAGATTTAATTAGATTGCTGTTGAATTAATTGCCTGCATGGTTTGCTTTTCCCGAGGAGAAATCTGGAAGACTTTAGTAAATTATGGAGGCTTGAATTTGCCCGATTTCCTGCAGAAAGCAGGGTCAATAGGTCTCAGACTGTAGACACACTCTTCAGGCAGGCAGCAGGGGGTTGGCTCTTAATGGCACTTGAGAGATGCTTAATTGCCTTTTTGAAATGTTTTTTCTCAAATGAGCGGCTTGGTTCTCCCATCCATTAGTGTGGGTCTACAGGCTTTTCCTTTCCATCATCTAGTAGTAGATGCATGAGCAAAAACACCTGAAATGTTGTCTTATTTTTCCTAAGTTATAAACAACAGGGGAAAATGTGCCTTTCTGAAAGTAGAAAAAGTAGGAATTTAAATGTACATAAAACACAGGTTTTTAAGAGAAATTATGATAATTTCTGTAGGCTACATGTACATGTGCATCTTCAATTTTTCTTTGAGTAACTGAAATAGTCTTAGAACAATATAAACAGTATACTCCTTTTCAAGGGATATTATAGCAAGTAATTTTGTAGCAGATGCTATGGCCACAGAAAAAGCAGGGACTATTAATTTAAGTGGCAATACTCACCTGTAAATAATAAATACAGATTAAATACATAGAATGCAGAATAAATACATAGATCACTTTACCAGTTATTTCTCCTTGTAGGGCAGAAACATAAGATTTTCTTGGTAGCCTGCTGACGATGAAATTAAACCTCTGCTACAAGTATTAATGAAAAGAGGGTTCTGAATGTTGTTTCAAAGAGCTTCTCAACATGCAAGGATCATTTTGGGGTGGTGGTTGGTTGTGTGGAAATGAATTTGTAAAGCTTTAATGGGATGGATTCTGCTCTATTGGCATTGTGATTGTGACTTGCTGTAGGAACTTTTGAAACTGGAATAAAATCAGACACGTAGCCCACTTATATAACTGGCATGCAAAATTTGTCTCAGCATGTATCCGCTGTTAAAACAATGATTATGTATATTCTGAGTTACTGAATGTAGTACTCTGCTATCATAGGTAGCCACGTCCCTTTCGTGAACTGAAGTTGAATATATTTGTTACTATTTCTATTACATCTGTGGGCTAAAAACTGCATTTTTTCCATTAGGAACCTCAGCAACACTGTATACCAAATACTACTTGCACGAGACATGATAAAGGGCGTCTGCAGCTGAGGACTAATCTGTCTTTCCAGCTGTTTTGAGAAGTTTAGTAATTGATATTACTCCTACTGACAGATTCTTGCCTGGAACATGTCCTTAGACCATCATAGATAAAACAGTGTGCTAATATTTGTGCTTAAAGTAAAATTGCTTTTCTATCTCATGTATTTATCCTCCCTTCCATGCTGATGTGTATGTAGAAGTAAACAGTATTCACATTGTATTTTTTTTTCCTTTGTTAAAGTGGTCAAAAATGCTATGATCTGTTTGAGCAAAATAGGCTCAGTTCTCCCTGTCCTCGTAGTTAGAAAACATTCTAGTTAGAAATGTCTTACTACTGAGCATGAGGAGGGTGACTATAGAGCATGTGAAGAAAAGTAGCCCAAAGACAAAATCAGAACACAGAAAATTGCAATATTTATTGATTTGTTACAAATTAAAAAAAAAAAAACAACAAAAAACAAGAACTTGTTTTCCTCCTAACAAAAGCAGACTTATGAGTTTAGCTGGAGATCCTCACAAGGTTTCTGTAACCTGCAGGCAGTTACTGGCTGCTTATGAGTGTTCATAGTTTTTACAGGCTGGCGTTCAGAACTTCCCTGCAAAACAGCATTGCTCAGTTTCTGCTTTCCCAACTCTGCTTTTCACCTCATCCCAAAGGGTCTTATTTTTCCCTTTGCTTCTCTCTCTGACCCTTGGTATCTGCTTGGAACGTCAGCTGGAATGGAAAAGTTGAGACTAGAACACCGACGCTTTCATTCCTGTTGAGCAGTCCCTTCACTGCTTCCTCCCCTGCGTTGTTGGTTCCAAATGAGGTTGGCACACGCAGTGAGAATTTCACTGTCTTGTCTCTTGCCAGTTGAGCTGGCTTCCTTATGCTGGCAGTGTATTGAAATAAGACCTTTAAAGTCTTAAGAGGGATGCCCTAGTTAAAATTCAGGAAGGGTAAATAACTCTCTGAAATTCATCTTTGTATCTCATGCTTTTTCTTTTTTTTTTTTTTTTTTTAAGCAGAATAGGTTTTCTCACCCCATTTAACAAACCAAATTTTGTGGGAGCTAGTACATTATTCTTCCTAGTGTCTGCTTTGGTGGTTTTTTTTCCTTGATTCCCATTTTATGTGTTTTGCTGGTTGTTTTTTTTTTGTTGTTGTTGTTTGTTTTTGCTTCTGAAGCTGTATGGCTGATTAGGTTTCTATTTGCTTAATGAGTTCTGACTGTAAATATAAGTGTTTGAAATAGTGAGTAGTAAATGAGAATTGATTCTTGGTGTCTGAGTTCAAAATTTACCATAGTTTTCTTTCTCTGTAAATTCTGTCTGTCTCTTCCACTTGATTTTTCCCTAAAACCACTCCTGTATGCAATTTTGCCTGTAGGCAAAAATGAAAATTGAATTAACAGAGAAGCTGGAATGAAAGTTTTGAGAAATTGCTGAAGTTCACTTCTGCTGAAATTAGAGAATTATTCTGTCTACTCTGAGCCTACTTCACCTCTGATGCTTGAATGCTGACTATGTGAATTACTCCCTGCTGTAATACTTGTTTTTATTTGAATTATTTTATTGTTTTCCTTCACAGAAATGGAGCAGTGTGAGCAATCCACTCTTCCTTCCATTGATTCCACCACAGTCCCAAGGATTCACAGCAATTGTTCTGACTTATGACAGGGTGGAGAGTCTTTTCCGAGTCATCACCGAGGTGTCCAAAGTGCCCAGCCTGTCCAAGTTGCTCGTTGTCTGGAACAACCAGAACAAGAATCCACCTGAAGGTAAGACTTGGTCTAGGTGTAGTGGAGGAGGGTGAAACTGGGAGTAACATGCCTTCAAAAACTGTTCTGTAGTTACTTTCAAAACAGTAAACCGAGATTTTTGTGGCGACGCTTTTGAAAGTGAAATGAGAAGGGCCAAAGTAGATGAAAAAAAACCTTCCAGTTGTTCTACTGCCAGCTTAATGTCAAAGGTAACATGAAGTAGTTGCAGAGACATTGGCTTCCTTACCTTTGTTTTGGAGAGAGGTAAAGAGAAACCATCTTTGTTTTGTCAATGCTTGATTTTATTTCTCTGTAGAAAGACATATGGGCCTTGATTAAAATGTTTTTGTTTCCAACACGTATGATACTGTGTTTCTCTTTGCACAACAGAATCTGATGGAAGCTGCAGGATCCCTCCAACTTTGAAATTCGTGTTTATTTTAAAATAAAATAAAGTTTATTTTAAAATAAACAAAAGGGTACATTCACAGACCTTTATTTTGTGCTCATTGCTATGTAGGGTGACATTCACAGAATCACAGAATCGTAGAGGTTGGAAGGGACCTCCAGAGATCATGGAGTCCAACCCCCCTGCCAAAGCAGGTTCCCTACACCAGGTCACACAAGTAGGCATCCAGGCAGGTCTTGAACATCTCCAGAGAAGGAGACTCCACAACCCCCCTGGGCAGCCTGTTCCAGTGCTCCGTCACCTCACAGTAAAGAAGTTCTCACACACATTTGTGCAGAACTTCCTACGCTGCAGTTTTTGGCCATTTCCCCTTGTCCTGTCTCCACACACTGCTGAAAACATTCCGGCCTTGCCACTGTGCCCCCACACCTTAGATATTTATAGACCTGGATTGGGTCCCCTCTCAGTCTCAAGGGGAGACTGGTCATAGGGGAGATGCTCCAGGCCCTTCACCATCTTCATAAGTTCTAAACATTGGTACTAAAGACATGAGCATTATTTTGGGCAGTTAGTCTTCTTTTCTCATTCTTAATGAAAGCCTGTATCTACAGTACTTGTAAATGAGTTTGTTTCTTGTATGTCATAGCTATGAATTGGTCATTCTCATCTGAAAATGTAGGTGATATTTTTCTGGGAGAATAAATGCCTTCTTCTAGGAATGTGTGTTCAAAAATGCTAACTTTGGTGGTGCAGAACTTTGTGTATTCGTCTGTCTTCTGGAGCAAATGAAGTCTGTTAGGACTCCTTGCTTTGTAACTGTATTTGCAGAAGCTTCAGCTGCTGCAGTTTTCCACTCTTTAGAGTTAGGTATTTGGCACAGTGGTAAGATGCAGTGCAAAAATTAATCCCTGACCACTTGTCTCAATCTGCCATGCTCTGACAGCTTCTCTGGAGCCAAGCTATTGCAACCCTCCACTTGGCTCATTTGCCATTTTGGCATCTTGTTGCAGTTCAAAGCAAGTAGCTTTATTGTTTGCTTTGAAAAGCATTCTGTAATACTGCTGTTCTAAACATCTCAGAATTTAGTGGTTTATAAAATGCTTTGCAAACTTTTGAAGTGAGAAGTGCTGCATATAAATTGATGCTGGAATTTTTGCAGTTATAAGTTTTTCTCTGAAAGTTGAAATGCTTAATGTTACACTCGTTCAGTTATGTAAGCTGTGAGCGAACATCTACTGAGTGCAGGTGGATTTGACCCAAATGGATTGTTTCCATGTTTTGCTTTGAGTGAAAAGGAAAGTAGAAGAATAGGAGAGTTGAAACAAACGTTGGCAAGATCTTTTCTGTTAAATCATTCGTATTAATCTTGAACTTAGAAATTCTTGAGAATTGAAGTGTTTAATTTTTTCTATCTTTATTATTATGAAGTCTAATAGCTTCAGAAAAAACTGCTGTTGCCTCTAAGCATAAACTTGCAATTGAATGCCCAGGAAGTTGTGCCCTTATGTTAGACTAAGCATTGCATCGAAGTAAATAACCATTTGTTTCCAGTGCTCTTTGTCTCCTTATTGCTGTTATAACAATTATTATCTTGGGCTATGGCTGAGGAGAGGTCAGTTTGATTAAATTAACTTGTTTCATTTCAGATCCATGCAGGGCATTCCACTTGGCTCTTCAGCCAGTCTTTCCTTCAGTCTGTCTATTAGTGATTCTAATCCGTGGACTTCAAAGCTTCTGCTGTTTATAGCCTGTTAAAGCCAGGAAGTTTCTGATGGATTAAGGCAAGGAATGAGTTTGAAGTTTGTAATGTGCACCACTGTCACTGATAAAGTCTAGTTTATTACCCTACAGTAGTATCTGCGCTTTTTGGGCCATTTTCTTTTAATTGATTATGGTAAAGCTGAGGTGCTTAACCTCCTCAAGCACCCAGAGCTGTATTTCCTGATCATTTACATATACAGGACATTTCTGTACAGAAGCAAGTCTTGGCTTTTGGCACTGCAACACTTTGTGATTTGTTTTTGTTCCAAGTGTACAAGAGGGAGGGCTGAGTGGACAGCATCAAGGTTGTCTTTAGCACTGATTATAGACAGTGAATTGTGAATTGGATTTGAATCTCTTGAAACGGAACTGGCACAGTCTGCACAAATATGACATGGGCTGCTCCTTCGCCTTGTCATCACAGGAATAGTATTATAATTGAAAATGACACCAGTTACACTTGATATTTTTATCAGACCAAGTATGTGTTGTAAACAGAGAGAATCTGTCTCTGGGAATTGAGATTTTCAAACACCTGCAAATTCTAGAATTCATGTTGGTATTTAATTTTTAAACAATGAATACTTATGTGCTTGTAACAATGCCTTTATGTAAGCAAAATTCAGTGAATACAGAACTTAAGAAGAGAATTAAAACGTTGTGCGAAATTTAAGAAGCTACTCCCCTCAAGAAATGGATAATTCCATAAAGACTGAAATCTTCTTTGCTTCTCTTCAATATTTAGTAATTTTTGAGTTAGGAGGTACATTTGTCAGTAAAGCAGGAGTGTGGGGTCCACATAAAGCATATGCTTTTCAGATCTAATTGTGGCAGGGGCTAATGCAGCTCTGATATGGCTGACAAACTGGCAAACTCTTTTTCACATTGCCTGATGTAAGTAACAGGTCAACTGATAAATTGAATACTTGACTGGAAAATTTCACCCAAATAAAATACAAAATTCTAAGTTGGAGATAAAGTGTGTACATATGTATACATGTATACACACATACATGCACAAGCAATTAAAGAGTGATTTTCCCCTTGTCCTATGAATTTGTGATGATGACTCCTAAGTTGAAATGTTTAAGAGCTTCATGTGCAAGTCTGAGCACAACAACTATACATTTCTTTTATAATTAACGAGAAAAAAAAAAGCACCTCCATCTAGTCTGCATGACATTTATTTTACAATGAAATAAAGCATCCTTGCAGAAGTACCCTTTTGTTTTCACTGAGTCTGAAGGAAATTTAAGGAAATTTAAGTACAAACTTGAATGACTGGTCTTAGCCACTTAGCTGTCTGCTCTAAATCCAGTTTGTTTTTCCATGTGGAAAAACACCTGAATGCAATGAGGAACACATATCTTGTCTCTCAAGATTTTTGAGACATAAGTTAGTGAGCACTGAATAACAGTGCTTCAATTAATTTTCCTAAGCAGATAGTTCTTAAGGCTTGGACACTGACCAGACACACATGCTCTACCTGCTCAGTGGGAGAAACTCTTTTTTTTACTGTGCCTCAGTTTCCGTGGCTGTAAAATGAATACAGCAATATTGTTTTCCATACAACACTGAGATCCGTAGTTTAAAACTGCTGTGTAAGTAGCATTATTCATGGCATTATTATTAAGAAGATGCTGAAATCTGTAATTGTAATCTACTTTTACATCAAAATCAAGAAGTAGAGGGAACTGCTGAAAGCAGGAAGATTTTCGTCTGAAAACCTTTAGGGCATTAATAAAAATCTATTTTAACTGCTTATTCCCATTTTGCAGCTTTAGAAACTGAGGTCACAGAGGTGAAATCTTCACCATCACTCAACTCAAGAGCAATGAAGAGATTCTGGAAGGTCTTGTGATTAAGTCTTTCTTTTGCTTGGTAGAAAGCACTCCCTTCCCCTGCTTTCTATCTGAGAGAAATGTGTAGACATGGATGTGAATGAAGAGGTGGAAGCTTTACTGTATATTTTGAGGTAATTGCTGAATGTGTACACCAAAATAGGACCACTGTGCTATGGGTGAGACTGGAAATCAAGGGTCTAATTTTATGTTTGGACTCAAAATATGAGCAATATCTTAGGAGAAGAAAAAAGCTTCAGCAGATGCAAGTATGAGCAATGCAGGAGTCTTGTGGAGGCATCTCAAATTTTTCGCAGAGCCAGCAGTAAAAATGTTGGATCTTATGTGTGAAACAGCAGAGAGGAAGTATCGCATATGATAATAATTTTAATCCAGAATTTTAGTGCTTTAGGGAATAAATTTGCTAATCTTAAGTGTTTTCTGAATGTGGGGGGATGTGATCTCTGTTCTGTGTCTTTGGCTCAGTTTTGTATATATACTCACCCATATGGGTTGTATAAGAAGTCTGTTAACCCAGCCATAACATCCCATGACTCCATGTATGATATTAATAAAAAAAAAAAGCTTTGAAATACTATAGGAAAAAATGATTTTCTCTCACTCACTCTGCATCCAATATAATAAACATTGTGGTCCAAGTGTCTGCTGCTGGGAATATTTGTGTAGACAGGATGTTTTTTTATTTTCTCAATTCAGCCAAATACTTTTGCCCTTTCATTTGAATTTGTCTAAATTACTAGTTCTGATGTTCAAAAAAATAGTCTGTGATAGTAATTTCCACTAACATTTCATCGTGTGTTTCACGTTTCATACAGTTGAAGAAATCATCTTGTCTACCACATAAATGGTATATAAATGCATTACACTTCATAAATGCACAGTAAGCCAGAAATCATGTCCTACAGTTTGATTCGTTATTAGATTCATTTTTATCAAAATAAAAAGTATGTTTTAAAGAATGTGTATTTTCTGCATAGTTCTATAAG